GCGGGGGGAACTGCGCAAAAAACGCATCCTCGTACCGGCAGCCGGTACGCTTTCTACTAGGTTTACTCTTGCAAACAAGCTAAAGGAGGCTTTGATTCAGTGGCGTACGCCAGCACCAATTTACATCGAAACAAATCGTAGAAGGATCGATTATCCTATTGACAAAACTGAATCCTTCGCCTATTGCACGATAACAGTACCACTTCCCAGTGCGTCATGTCCGTCGACAAAGGAAAAAATATTACAACTTCTCAGCGCAGCGGTGATGAAAAAGTGATGTTAAAAACTGCTAAAGCAAATGCCGCCGTAATAAATGCACGTTTATACAAATGCATGATATAATAAAGCAGTAAAAAGTAATAAAGTGATAAAAATAGTAAAAAGAAAAAATATGAGAGGATTATTGCTGGTTTAATAACCCAAACTTGGAGTAGATGAAGTGAACGCCAGAATCGCCAGCAGGCTGACCAGCATCAGTCAAAACAACTTGAAAAGACCATCCAATTTTTTAATATAATTTTGTATTTTGTAAGCATCATTACTTATATTTCTATTGGAAAATAGGAAATAGGTTTAACAATATATAGGAGGCAGAAAAGTAGAAAAGTAATTTGGAGAAATGAAAGAAAACTGGAAATCAAAAGGCATATTTTTTTACAAAGTGATAAAATTTAAAAAATTATGCCAAGAGCACCAAGACCATTTGGACAATCGGTTTGGGGATCCCGCGTTACTGGTATTATCGGGATAATTCCATACACTGGGCACAGCTACATCTGACCCCTTAATCTTGGGCTATCTAATTCTGAAATACCATCTCGAGGCAGGCAGAGAAAGGCTTGGGCGATATGTTTTATTATATCTCAAAAAATGATACCAAGAAAACGAAGACCGTACGGACAATAGTGCTCAAAAAACCTAAAAATAGGAGGAATAAGGTGCATTAATCTGATTGACTTTTTATGCGTTTTTTGCAGCTATGCAATGCAGAAAACGCATATTGGCGAGAGGTTATCTGTGTGTATGTGTGTGTGTATGTATGTATGTATGTATGTGTGTAGTTTTTCATCTCGAGACCTGTAAAAACTACGGGGCTGAAATTTTTGGGACTTAATCTACATGCATATACTACATGCATGCATATACGGGCCGCAACCCCCAAAATGGGCGCTCTTACCGGCGTGGTACCCACGTGCGGGCCCGCTAAAGTTTTTTACGGGCAAACCGCTAACTCGGAAACCAGAGAAGCTGCAAACCTGAAATTTTAAGGAGACGTTCCCCGTTCGCGCAGGTATGAATGAGCTCAAACCCAGCCTCCTGATATGGTAGGTAACCACGTAAAGACTCGTGAAATTTTTTTCGGGTAAGTTGCTAGCTCGGGAACCGGAAAAGCTAGAGGATTAGAATTTTAAGAGAATTTTCCCTGGCCCAGTAGGTGTTGATGAGCTCAAATCCAGACATCAGGTACGCGTGGTGCCCACGTACGGGCTCGTCAAAATTTTTTTCGTAACTTGCAAACTCAAGGACCAAAAAAGCTAGAAAGCTGAAATTTTAATCGGGTGTTTCCTGACAGTTTTGGTGGCCAGTTTTAATTTGTTTAGCTAGAAGCATTTGCCGGAAAAAACTGGTGACGTAGCGACAAAAACTGCGGGGAATTATGCAAAAAACATATCTTCGCACGGGCAGCCCGTGCGTTGGCCAATTTTTGTCAGTGACTTATTGAGAGCCCACAAAGCGAATAATTTACAAGTTTTATTGAGAAACAATAGAACAAAGGTTACCTCAAGATATCCAGCTTCGCCTTGTGCAATATGTCGGCCATCGCGATCAACAGCCACTGGTCCAGCCGGGAAACGCCAATTTGGTGGAAACGACCGAAACATCATTCGGCACTTATAGCTAATCTAGAATCCCCGTTCAACAGCCTGAAATGTACACTGTGTAAAAATTGGAAGCAAATGTTACATTAATGTCGAACGAAGAACTAACGAGGTAGACGCGCGCTTCCCACGTTCCCGTAATTTGAATTGCGTGCGAAGTTCGCATAAGCTTATCATATGAGGTTTCGATACAGCACGAAAGGATTACGACACAAAATTATTTGCGGAGTTAAACAAGAGACACGCAGATGAAGGAAGGAGAGGTATTTGGAGGCGAAAAAAGTACGGAGAGATGGTATTTGAGAGCAGAAATTCAAAATACGGAGTATGAGGAATGGAAAAAAAAGCATGCAGGTCTTTGAGGATAATGGTGAGTTGACGACTGAGAATACTGAGGGCCAAAAATCAAACCCCTTTCAAATACAGGACGATTTCCTCATATCGCAAATTTTGTACTTCGCAGTAATACGAGGCTCTTCGATCTTGGCCTGTGCCTCTACACTACTGCCTGTGATTCAAATCGACGCAACAGGTCAAGTAGCCATCTTCACAAATGTTCAGTAGGACCAATCGAAGCAAACATCGCCTGGTTCAACTCCTAGATCCTAAATTGACCTTTGATCCCAGCTCGAAGTTGTTGATGCTTTTCCATTTCTCCCTAAGCTTGATTCTTTTTATCCTGGAATATGAAATAACAAGTCTCGAACTCTCGTTCGAAGGCTTAGCATAAACAAACTCCACTTTGTCTACATGAAACTGAGCACCTTGGCTTCTATTTCGGGTTAAGCACCTCGGTTTTTCGTCTCGTCTACATCTGAAGCAGGGCGGTACCCCTTGCCTGTTCGATGTTGTGCACCACTTCTTCAAGTTCCTGAAAAAGGAACCTATATGCTCTGGAGATTGAAAGAAAGTTGGTTTTGTTGAACAGTGCATCAGGACGGTATACCAAGTCCTAATCTAGCAGAAAAGCAAAGTGATAGAAATTAAGACCGAGATACTGGTTCCAAGTACTGGGTAATTCGCAGAGTAGTTTTCATGTTTCGTACCTTAGCCTTAAACACAGGCAGAGTCGCACGTACGCACAGGAGTGGTAATCATCGGTACAGCCTCCCAGTTTGATCTATCAACAATCCACTCTGTCTGAGAGGTGAAGGCAGTTGGAAATAGCTCCAGTGGTAGGAAATGCCAACAGCAACCATCCGCTGGCAAGGCTGTCTATAGCTCCCTCTTTCGAGGTTTCTTATAAGCAAGCTGGTGACGGATTTGACTCGTTGGCATATGCTAGTAGCAATTTATCGTCAGAATGAATGAACGAATCGTAAAGGGGATTGATTGTGCAAGACGGTGTCGTTGCTTCGAGCAACGAAAAAGCCAAAAACCGCATTGCTTAGCCCGAGTCGGACAAGGCGAGGGTTAAGCTAGCCCCCTTGACCCGAGTTCGAAATACACTAGTTCAGTATAATTTGAGTACTTCAGGTCCAACGACAGAAAGAAGTATGGAGAGGGATGGCATATATCATCAGAAATTTCGATTTGAGATCAACGGTCAAGGAAAGAAGTTATGGCAGTTAGTCCGGGCGATGTTTACTTCATGTTTACCACCGTAGACCAGTGCAGTGGCGACTCAACCAGTTATATCGATCTGAGGTCAAGGGTCATAGTGCAGAAAAGGCCGGATATTGATTTCGGGTCTGAATTTGCTTAGGCAAAATTTCGAGTTTGTGAATTTGGTTCAGACTTTAAAATCAAAGGCAGGAAATGATGACAAGTTTCAGAGTTAAATTTGAATTTCAGATCAGGAAGAATGATTGAATTATTACACTGAATTATGGGATTATAAAACTCTGTTCTGAGTTCTTCACTTTTTTGGAATTTGAGGTAAGGAAAGTTGGATGGGCGTTAATAGTGATGGAGATGTGAAGGATTAGTGAATTGAATTTAATGTAAAAAAAAGAGAATAAATATGGTTGGAGAGAGGGGATCAAGCAGTAGGAAAATCACAGGTAAAATTTTAGGAAAACATGAAAAATCCTTAAGATCTCGGATTTTTCCGTTAAGAGGTCAAGAGATTTTAAGCCTTAAAAAGACTCAAAAAATTTTAGAGCGATTTGAAAAATTTCTTGTGTAAGCCTCAGTTTCAACCCAGATTAAAGGTTAAACACAGCAAAACTTTAAAATAGGCCCTCATGCTGTCCGAAATCCCTAAAATTTCAGTCCCAATTGCCATAACACAGTTTTTAACTAACGCATATAGTACAAAAACACAGCTGCGCACATTCTGCAGAACTAGTCCGAATACACCGACGAAATCTACTTGTGTTATCTGCTGGAACTCCGAAAATGCAGGAGTTCAAGTACGTGCCTTGACACGTCCGTTCCATGCCTTTTCTCCGCTCACTTTTGAGGCAAACTTACTGCTGCTACATTTTTCCTATGACTGTTTAAAAACATTTTTTTTAAAAACGCTTATCCTCATCCACTGAGGAATAGGTCGTTTGTAACCAAGGAATTGCGAGGAAATAAAGGGAGAGGAGTGTAGAAAGACAGAACGTTATCCAGCTTCGAGTTAGCAAATTGTACGTATCACAAATCCACTTACAGAAAGCTCAATCAAAAATCAGCATAACGCATTCAGCAAAAAAAAAAAAAAAAATACGCCGAAGAAAGTGGAAGAAGTGGCGAAGACGAGGCTTTTATAGGATCTCAGGAGGCGGAATTAACAGTCTGGAGATGTCCTCTCCAGCCAATCATATGTGAGTGGGCCCCTCCACGCAGTACTTGGTGACCTCACCTTGACCCTAACGAGAGATTATGCAAGCGCGCGAGTCATCAGTTATACAGCCCCTGGAAAACAACGAAAACAGCAAACATCGCTGGATATTTACTAATTCGTAACAATGTGAGAGTCCAGGGGACTGTTACTTCCGCAGAAAACACATGATTAATTTTACTTATTATTTTCACAATTATTATTATTGTTATTATTATTACTACTTCTATTATTAGAATAGCAATAATAATAATAATAATTATTGCTGTTGCTATTACTGTTGTTATTTTTATTATTATTACAGTGAATATTATACTTTCTATGATTATTGCTAATCTACTTTTCACTTTTCTAGTTTAGCATTAACCAAGTTTTCCATTAAATCCTATTATAATCTGTTGCCGGAAATTATACTTGTGGTACTCTAAATTGATTGGTCGGTTGTAATCTAACATAATTTTCCACCTATGCAGCTACCAAATTTCCCGTATGCTACAACCAGTACTGTATTGCCTGGTGGTCAATCTGCTGCTGTCGATCCTAACATTCGTTTCTTTTCAAATTTTTGCTGCTAACCTCGGGCAATTAAAATTCGGGTTTTTATGTGTCACAGCCAAACTGAAATTGTCCTCCCCTAGCAACTACGTTGGAAGAATCCCTCGCTATCTTAGCGTGCAACAAATCTAAGTAGTACTCCAATTCCTCTCCTCTATCTTGCTTTAATCCGTTCCCCTGGAGATGCATCTGGGTACTCACCTACCACCACCCTTCCTCTGAGCACGCCATCGCCCCCACCTCCATTCAGCACCCCCTCCCCCTCCCCCAACAAGGCGTTCAAGTTGCGGTGCGCTGAGTAGCGTTCCCCAGCACCTCTAGCAAAGTGCCAAGCGGAATTGGCGAGCTCCGCCGTGAAATAGCATAAGCGAAGAGGTTGAGGTAACGGCTGAGCCGAGTTTTAAATTGCCGCCAGTAATGCATATAGATTAAGTTCCCAAAATTTCAGCCTTGTAGCTTTTGTAGATTTTATGATGAAAACTTGGTACAGGCGAACACATAGGCACATACCTACAGACAACCCCCTGACAATAAGGGTTTTTGCATTGGGTAGATGCAAAAAAAACGCACAAAAGTTAATATTAACGGTCTTCTGCCATGATATGGCACTCAATACAACAATTACTTTGATCAGGATATGAAATGATTAATGTATCACAGAATGTAAAACCACCACCTTTATAACGAGCACTGAGATCGCCGTAGTCAAAGTAAGAAGTATAACCGATGCAAGGTCCTCGATGCCTCTAGGATGCACCACTGGCAGCGCTCTTGTGTCAACGCTTTAGAAATGGTGCTTTTCAGGCTTCTCAAGATCTGAGCAAATACCACTTTTCAACAAGCTATCTTAAGGAAACAACCTGAAAGGGATCATGCTTAGGGGTTACAACTATACTGCTATAACATAATCTTTGGAATTGTGAAATCGCAGACGAATGTTGAAGAGGTATTTTCCAGAACAGAATGGCGGAGGATTTTTTATCGTCTGTTTCCAGTGAATCTACCCGACAGGCCGGTTCGTTTTTGATCAGTTTCGAAATTATCCTTTGCTATGAATAGTATAGTGCATTTAATTTGGCATGACTGGATGTTTTGTGCATGTAATCCAAAATATTCATGAAATCCAAATGATGTTGAGATCGTGGACACCCGGAAAAGCTATGCCGCTGCAGAATCAATGGATAGAACGATCGTCAGTTCGGTGAGTAATTTGGTATATTTGGGATATTTTGATGCTGGAGTACCTTACAGAAAAGTTTTACTTCTCATGTATTTTTCAGTGTTTCGTGTTGGAAGAAACAGGACTGTACAGGAAAAGATGCCGGCTTGGGCCGTATGGAAAGCAACTGAGAGTGCGAACTGTTCAACAGGATGTACCTGATTTGCAATGGCAATTACAATAATTCGGCTCAGCTGATGGTCTACGGTGATTTAGCCTTCCAGCGCTTCGCCCAATCATCTCTGTCAGCACTATTTCGCGGCGCCGCCCACTGGAACTTTGCCAGACGCGCTAAGTAGCGCTGTCCCGTGCCTGGCGGCTGAATTACTTGGGTGGGGGGAGGGAAAGGAGAAGTGATGGGTGGGAGGACTGGACGTGATTAGAGGGTGTTGGTTGGTAATTGCCTAAATACAGTTCAGGCGACGCGATTGAGGCCAGGATAGTAGGGAGGAATGAAGTTGCTGGTTAGGAGTTCAAGACGACAAACAGTGATAGTAGTTGGAGGTGATGGATGACGCGAAAAAAGGAGTAAAATAAAAATTAAAAATTTTTCTTCTTCACTCTCGGTGGTTAGAATTCCTTCTTTCCCGTCAGAACGCCGGGTTCTTCACTGCCACGCGGGTTTTCTTTTTTTTTTAGAGAATCTAACCTTTATTTTTCTCTTCAAAAAAACAACAAGCCACAAAACGCTTCAATCAACCTTCTTCCAATTAAGTAACAATCAACAATCTTCCAGTCCAACGATAACCAGCAAGGTTTCAAGCCAACAATCACCAACACCCTTTTAATCCACCAATAACCAAAACTCTTTCAATCCAACAACAACCAACCAAAGAAAACTCAATCCACGCATTTCTATAAACCACAACCAAACCGACCGCTCAATCCCTTCTTTCTTCCAACAAAAAAAACAAGCCACACCAAGAGATTTCGCGAAAACAACCCAGCAAACTCACTGTCCAACCTCTTCAGTCCAAAAAAAATAACAACAATAACACTCGCCCATCCCAGCCTGCTCCCCTCCTCTATCCCCCCACCCATCTAGGTTAGAGTGACCTAGCTCTATTTGGAGGTGGACAGGGGAAGCTCAGAGGGTGACCATTCGACCCCCACGAAAAGCAGTCGCGAAAACAACTTTCGCCACACTCCCGAGACCAGGCAATCACACAATTGACAAAACATTTCATCCAATACGAACGCATTCATCATATTTTCAAAACAAAGCAGCTTGTAGGGCAAAACCATTGCTAACACATGCTTTTAAAAAGGTATAGATTAGAACGATTTTAAAGTAGTGATAACGTAATTAATTTCTGTACCAAACAAATTTTTGATGGAAACCCGATTAAATTTAAACATTTAAAAAAGATTGGAAGTTTATATACGCTCACGTAGTAAAAAAAAACCTGAGAAAAATAAGAACAGAAATGCGGCAGTTGTTCGCCGATTGTTGATAATACCAAAACAGCCAACCATTCACTTGATCTCATATGCTCGATCACGATTGACCATGTAAGATAACATTAGCGACCAATATAAACATAACGGCTTGACAACCACACGTTTGACCATTGAGAAATAGGTCCAACTACTTCTTCATTCACTTGATCTAACATGCTTAATCACGATTGACCATATCAGATAACATTAGCGACCAATATAAAAATAATGGCTTGACAACCACACGTTTGGGCATTACGAAATAGATTCAACTGCTTCTTGTTCAATATTTGGATCTGTTAGTGCAGGAAATTGCATTTCTCTTGTAATTTCTAACGGCGGCAGATAGTTGATAGGCCTTGTCAATATATGACCACTCGGCATCCGGACTAAGGCTGTACGAATTACATTTCCGTGTCCCAAATACAATTTCACAATTTTTCCAATTTTCCAGACTCCTCTCGGTTGGTTTTCTTCTTCCACCAAGACAACTTCATTGATTATTGGAGTCCTTTTTACCGAGCTCCGCGGTCGCCGGTGATGCCTTTGAGTTCTTTTTCGTAGCAAAGGCAAATATCCGCTCTGCCACAGTTGCCAAAATTTGTTCGATGTCACTAATGCCTTTTGCCATTGTTCGAGGAGTTTTTGCTTTGTTGTCGTTAGCGAACTGCTACTTCTACTTGTTGCTTCATTGCCAGTTATGTCGAGCTGTGATTCAGCGTACGGACATAGGAAATCAATAGGGCGGAATACTTCAGTTGCATCATCCGCTACATGAGTCAAAGGCCTGGAGTTCACGATGCTTCCAACTTCTGCTCTAAGTGCAACTAGGCTCCTTTCTGACTGTAGTTTCCTTCAGTTGCCTTCTACATTGATTGCTTAACCAGTCCAATGAGGCGTTCGTAGATTCGACTTTGCCACGTCGCATGCTCCGTGATAAATTTCCATTTGATTCGTTGCTTACTGCAGTAACTTTCAATAGTTTTCTGTACGAGTTTAAACTGTGAAGCGTTATCACTTATAATTTCCTCCGGAACACACCGTCGAGCTACAAATCTTTGCAAACAATCTTTGCAAAGCTACGAATCTGCTGATAACTCATCAACCACTTCGAGATGTACTGCACTAGTTGACAAACAAGTGAATAAGCAGAACTATCTTTGCTGTGTTGCATTTCCGTTATTTATGTTAATTAGGTCTAGATAGTCTAGTTCAACGTATGTCTGTTAATTCTCGTCCTCGGATACGGTGGAATTGTCGGCAAACAAAATGGCTTTGCTAACCATCGTTTACAGAACATACAGTCCTTGACTGCCTTTTTAACAGTTGATCGACCCTGTGGAATCCAGTATCGTTTCCACAGTTGCGCGAGGGTATGTGATGCGCCACTGTGGCCAACCTCACGGTGACTATCCCATATAATAAGCTTCGTCGCTGTTTTCCCTTTTGGCAGATAAATTGGGTCCTGCCACTCACACTCTTGTAATCTTCCTCGGCATCGCAGTATGCCATCCACATCCTTATCGAGCTGCCATTTTTCCATTTCTTCGGTGTTATTTTCCACAGAGTTTTGCACCTCGCGAAAAGCAATCTTTTCCGCAATTTTGTATTCTTCAGGTGTAAAGACACCGCCAGATGATACTTGCTTAGTACTGCCGGCTTTGTTGCTTGAAGTAAGTTTAATAAAACACAGTACATTTATGATCAAATGTAGATATTTGTACCAGCTACCATATCTATTAACATCAAAGAGTTCATGTATAGAATAATTCTTAATTTCTACAACTTCTCTCTGTATGCCAAGGCTTACTTCTTTGTCCTGAATACTCAAAATCTTCGTTTCCAATTCAAGATGTCCAGTTCTCCTTCAAGGTGACCACTGCGGCCATTCAGCCTTTTCTTTTGCTAACAATGTTGGTCCCGTCCATAACTGTTCGTTTTTCAAATCATGTGGTAAAATCCGTCTGGTTGCTATGTCGGCTGGATTGTGGCTGCTCGGAACATAATGAAAGACAGCCGACGACTTTCGAATTTCTTTTAAACGAATTTCTACAAATCGTTCCGGATTTGGTTTAACTGATTCTATCCATTGCAAAAATACAGTGGGAATCAATCCATATGTGTGACTCGGTAGGTTGTTGTGTCTGTCTGACGACAAAATTTAGAGATCTGCACCAATCAATACGGCTAATAGTTCCAAACGTGGGATGGATTGTCCCTTTACAGGACAGAGCCGAGACTTTGAAAACACCAAAAACGACCGGGTGCCATTTCTGTTAGTCACTCGAATATAAACTGCAGCAGCGTAAGCGTCTTTTGATGCATCAACAAAGGCATGCAACTGGAATTTGTCCGATTGAGTGCATACTATTCTTGGGATTGTGAACTTGGCCGCTTCAAACACTTTCAGAATATTAGACAACTTATTCAATTCTTCTTGCCCAAGAAAATCGTCCCAACCGCATTGTTTTTTCCACAATTTTTGCAGAAATATTTTAAGCGGCAGTAGAATAGGTGAGATCAGACCAGATCAAAATGTCCTGCTACAAATTGTAAAAGCTGACGCTTAGTGCTCGGAATTGACATCGCAGAATTCATTTGCATCTCAAGAGTACCATCATAGATATTTCTGTTAAGTCCCAATACTTTCGCATTATCCGCTTCTTTGCTATCTTCTTTTGGTATATTGTTGTTAGAATTCAAGCAGTTGGAGATCTGCACTGCTTCCTCCATTGATTCTGCCGGTATCAACACGTATAAATTTCTCAGAATAGTTACTGCGAGCGGCGTATTAACATTCTTCAAATGCTTATCGATCGTGATGGTAACAAAAATGGACTTGAGACCACTCCGAACGGGACTCGCTTAAAACGATATATACCTAAATTTTCATTATTTACTTCCTCTTCCAAATTCTTGATCCATAGGAATCTTGTGGAATCCCGATCATCTTCATTTAGCCGAATTTGATGGAAAGCTTCCTCATTATCGCAAGTAATTGCTATTTTCATCATCCGCCACCGAAGGAGAATTCCGCAAAGCTCCAGTAGCATCACTGGCCGTCAACACAAGACGTCTTTGAGGCTACTACCTGCTCCTTTTTTTGCTGACGCATCGAAAACTATGCGCAATTTAGTCGTGTTCTTGTGAGGAGTGATTACAGCTTGATGAGGCAAATAGTGGACAATTCCTGTTGAATCCCTTTAACCTGCTGGTTCGACCATCCCTTTTTCAAGCTGTTCATTAAGCGCCTTGATATAGATATCTAACATTCATTTCTTTCTTAGCTGATCTACAGTTTTCTTCAGCCTTTCAAAACATGACCCAAAATTACTTTGAAGTTTCGGTTCAGTTGATTTCCACGGCCAACCTACCGAATAGCATTCGCCAATATTTTACCGATGCATCAAACTACCGTTTCGCGCCTTCGTCATCGTTTCCTTCTTCGTTTAATCCTATTGTTTCAAGAGTCCAATAATTAGTAATGTCTTCTCTTTCCTTTTCTCCTTTACTAGTGGCGATACCAACAAAAACTGACTGAGCAAATTCCTGCGATAAGTAGCCCTGTTTCGAAAGTTGACCCTTTCCAGCGATTGTGTGTCTAACAGACGAATTGACTAGCTGAAATCCACTTGCCAAATTTTGAGTCTTCGCTGTATCTATAAAATCAAATAAATAATCGCAACCAATTAAAATCTGAGGTTGTCTCC